CAACACTAGTTTTCAGCGCTACTAAGGCCTAAAAAAGAAAGGAGAAGGTACACATTTTTTCACACACTCTTTTGTTATAATACTAAAGCTTCACTGACAACAGAAAACCGAGTCCACTTTAACTCAATTGAAACTCTTAATAAATAGGAAGAGTAGGGAGACATGGACAGAATTTACACTCACAGTTTCCTCGATCTCCACTCTCGGAACAGATAATGTCCGTGGACAAATATCCGCACATATTATACATGGCGCCAAATGGAGGCTATTGTTCATGGATACTTACAGTTTGAAGTTGTTCTTCCGTTCTTGATCCAGGACTCAGAGAGAGAATGTGAATGGCTTCCTGACTTAACTGTACCTGTTTGGGTATGAACCACAATAATTTAGTCAAAAATATTACTTCCATCTCTCGATTCAAAGTCGCTTTCAAGTAATAGTTCTTACAAAAATGGTTCAAAGGTATCTTTAGAATAAGACTCGGGCGAAACCCCAATGTATGTTCATGACAAATAATCTCGAGGTATCTTTGATTTCAATTTGAGTTTGTTTTCAAGCTGATTGCCACCCTTATACTTTTGTTCAAAACCAAAAGTAAAGCAAAATGTAAACAAGAGTAGCACTCTCTCGCGCTCGCTCGATCGCTATTTCTCGTGCCCAGCCCTCGCGCGATTCATCTCAGGCGTGCGAGTATCGGGATGATCGTGTGACTTTTAATCAACAGCTTACCTCTCGCACGGCCTTAAAGTTGGTTGGATCAAAAATCATCCCATCACAATCCACGCTGGTTACAGTTTCGGCATCCAGTTCAGCGAACACGTTTGTATTTTGTGAGCGATATTTCCTGCAAAGAAAGATCACTGTTAACAGTAAGTCTGAGAAAGACGCAACATTTGTGAAGGGAGAAAAGAGCACTGAGAGCTATGAACTTTTCAAGCGTGCATGCAATAAAATTCCAATGGAAATAAAACCCATGATAATGAAACGTGGGTGAGATGTATAGCGGTAGGGTGCTGACTAACTCTTCCCCTACCTCCCCCCCCCAACACAAAAAAAAAAAACAGCCCAAAAGTATTTTGATCGTGAACTGTAAAATAATTTTTAACGTTTGTAAATATTCATACTCGAAAATAATTGTTGTTGGTGGCTATGACTCAGACGTTTGGACTTCCGCAGCGGAAGTCATTATCCCAGCCAAGTACGTGTAATTTCACTCTAAAGGTACCGCGTATCAGATCAAGTGGTCATTATATCTACTTGAAGTTGAAATGGCTTTCTGGATGGGTCGCTTTAAATAACTAAAACAGCAGCCATGCATTTCTTGACATAGAAAAAGTGACTGAATTAAAAATTTAGCTTCACAGGGTTAACCAGACATGATAGCATTCGAATCTTAATTTTCGGTATTAGCCCGACGTGACGTCACCGAAACATGTCTGTCGGTAACATATTTCGTGAAGTAGAAATATTGTTAGTCTGATTTCCACTAAAAACTTACTGTGCGCTTGGCATGAGTTAGAATGAAATTTAAGATTGGCAACTCAAAAATAAATCGGCATTTTCGAAGTGTTTCCTATTTTTTTTGTTTAATTAAACTGAACTTGGAATAATTTGGGTTACATTCAAATGATTGACTGGTCTGGGGGAGCAGTTCTTATCCGTCCTTATTTTTTCTTTAAGTGGGGAGGCGTAAGTCAGGCTAAGTGGAGCTCACTTCTGAGCACAGGGGATGAGATATTTCATTCTCTCTTGGTTCTAACTCAATTAATTGTCTTAAATTTCAATTTGCGAATATTACAGCACATACCTGTCCATTGAAGTCTTCATTTTCAACAGGAAACAAAGCAGTTGAACGATTTTTCGAAATCTCTCAATTGGCTGAAAAGGAAAAAACAGATTGGTTGGAAAAAATCCATCTCAGTAGGGGGCCAGCGATTAAAGAAGCCATCACGGATGAAGAAGAGCTTGTATGGCCCTGACACATCAAGGCATTTGTGCCGAATGGGAAAGGAAAGCATTTTTGTGCAAAGGAAGAATACATCCGTTTTGTAGCTGGTATCTCCAGCACGGAATTGTGCCTCGAAACAGTGGCCTGCATTTTAGCAATTTTCAGAAGCAGCCGTCGTCTCGTCTGTTACTTGACGGGTTGTTAAATCTGTTGCTTTCCTTTTTCCAAAAAACTTGGCTCCAAGTCAGTGTGATTCCCGGAAAAAATTTTTCCACAAAACTACCTGACTCTTTCTCAAAAGAATAAAAAAATCTTCTTTATTTTGACTTCCCATTGTGGGTTGACGTCACCAGCCTCTGGGCTTTTGGAGAGTTTATTTACATTAGCGCGCAAACAATACTTACTGTCGTTAATTATTCTTACATTCCGAACCACCATGATTTTTATACTGAACTTTATGAACATTTCTTTGGAAAACAAGTCCGAAAAAAGAATTAAGATATCGAGTGTAATATTCAAATCTTGAAAGAAAAAGATTAAAGATTTGATTATTTTAAAGATTTGCATAGTTACTAAGTTAAACTGAGAACTTTTGTAAATTTGTGGTTTAGTGCATTGTCTGATTCCGTCAAAAAAGTCAATGGTTCCTAGATCAACAAGGAATTTTGCATGATGTTTGTAAAGCCGTTCATTTAGACACTCATTGATAATTTGGTTAAAGCGAAACGGAACAGAAATTTAGTTTGACTTAAGAGGTGCTTGTCGGAAAACACACGTCTCCTGAATCCAAGTTATAAAACATGGCTCACGCGAGGAGAGTAGTCGACCGTAACGAACAATAACTTGTCACGGAACCTACCGCTATCCGTTAACCGTTATTCTCGTCCTCAACCACTTCTTCACTCGATACTTCTACTTCGATTGCGGGCAGAACTACTTCTATTTCTTCCTTCTCTGAAACAACATGCTCTTCGTTTGAGTTAGGCCTTACTTTCTTTCGCCCAGCGTTTTTAGCTTTCCGCGTTGAATTTTGTGAAGGAAGCCGACCGTCTGTGTTTGTAGAAACGACCCCATCGTCGGCATCGTCTGCAGTGCTTCTTATTGCTCGCTTTCTGATGTTGTTAACAGACAGGAAATCTCCTAAATAACTTGATGGAAGGGAAGCCCGTCTAGAAACTCTTCCTTTCTTTGAAACTTGATTGGTAAGCCATTTCTGGTCTTGTTTGCTCCTTGGTGAAGTTTTATGCAGTGCCCCGTCAATATGAACCAGTTTTTCTAAGCCAGCTGCATCCGATGAAACTGTTTTTCTGAGTTTTGTGCCAATTTGCTCTTCTTCAGCAAGTAGTGGAAGATCAACAAGAGAAGAAGGATCAGAAGAAATGCGAGGAAAACTTGTTGAAGTCTCGATTTCCCTCGATTCTCTTTCTGACTGAGTTCTTCCTGTCAGGTTCCTAGACAGAGTCTTTCCGCTTGTTTCATTGTTAAATTCATGTTCGTTTGCGTGAAGGCTTTCCGATTGACTTCGGTAATAAGGTGTTCTTAAGCTCGTTTCATTCCAGCACTCTTTGATTGGCTGGTTGCCTCCTTTACCGTCCAGCATAATCGCCATTAGTTAGTTGTAGTGTTTCAGTTGTCCTAAATCTGACAGATATTCAGCCAGCCTCCCTGAACACGCTGAGTGACATACTCTTGCTTCGTCAAGTCCACTTGAAAATCAAACCGAATTTACCAGGTCAAACTGTTAGTTACTCTTCTAAAACACTTGTTGTGGTTCAGGATTTTTTAACTCCAACTGTTAAACTTCTCAACTTTAGCGTGCGTTGCGTAGCAATGTGCTGCAATCTTTTAGAAAATGGCATCAGCAAAGTTTGTGCTTCAACACTGTCTTCTACATCATTAAATCAGTTCTCACGATATCTTTGACCGATTCTCTGTTAAGAGATCTGTATCACTAACAAACAATTCCAAATCAACGATCGATCAAAATACTCCTTGCGAACAGAATCCTGTCTAATGCTTGGTTGATTAAATGAAAATTCATAAGATTTCCACTGTAAACACGATTTTCTAGTTTGCATCAAAATGCATCATCCATAACTACGCAAACAAAAGACTGGAACTTGTTAAACAAACACACAGTCAAGAGTTCAACGCAGATGTTAACATTTGCGTCGAAATCGTTCTCTTATTAAGCCAAACAATTGAAGGATTCAGTTCAACAGGAAAGTGAATTACCAAATGACAAATGATTCGTTTGATTTGGGGTCAGTTGTTAATGATTCTACGGGGAGGGGTACATTAATTTAACCATTTTTTGTGTCGCAGTCTCACTGTTCTATCCCTGTTTTATACCAGATAATCTGTCACTTAACAAAGTTCTTAAATCGACCTAAATCTTTTGAAAATTAAACTATTTGTTTGCTTTTTTTGTATCAATCACGTTAATATATACTTCAAGATTCTGTACTGATGAAGCTTTTAAGGTATGTACACTAATAGATATATATATATATATCTTTGTTATTCTGTAACCCTTGGGGTTTGATATTCTGCAAAGTGCACTACATGCATCACTGCTTTCTCAGGAGGCAGCGATAGAATCTATTATTGTTAAAAACTATTCAACGAGCCACTTGATTTGCTACACATAGTTTGTTCTGTTGTTCGCATTTGCCAAAATTTCAAATTACGTCAAGTAAAGTTTTTAGACGACACCGCATGGGGTTGCAGTTATTAATGGCAAACCTATTAAGGAAAGTTTCCCACAAGGTTAAGGAGAATATTCAAAACTATGTAAATATGTCCATCGAAACAAAGTTTAGGCAGATTATCAATCTTACAGGAAGTTCTCAATGAGATGATGGCCTTTATGGCTCACGTTGATCAAATTTTGGCCATTTCACGGCTAACAGTTTTAAAATTTCTTTCCACTGTTTCTAGAACGAAATATTACAACAACGACAACAGAATTCGTCAGTTTTTACGCCCAAAAGCTAAATTTTGTTGCCGTTTACAAATGCATTTGGGTAATGAAATGTATTTTTCCATTTTTTAAGTGATAGCAATCGATTTAATTTTCTGTAGTTGGTGTTGAATGTCCGCCATTTTGGACATCAAGGCAGAAAAGGCCATGGGACAAGTTGCCTCTTGGATGCTCTTTTTCTTGGTCACACGGGTTGTTCAGTGGTCGGAGGTTTTACCCAAAAATGCATGCAGGTCATGACTAAGATTAATGCCTGTATTATCAAGCTGAGATAAATTTTAAATCCACAACAAGGAGATTACTTGAGAAATGTACAAATTTTTGGAAAACTTGTGTCCTTTACAGTACGCGCGATGAAACCGTTTTCCCTCATAAGTTGACCAGCTTTGGTAGGCTTTTTGTTACAAAACAGCTTTGTATTTGAAGTGAGGATCGCTAAATCCGGTTTCAAAGTCGATAACATATTTGTTGGCCACAAACAGAAACAAGGATGCCCTCGATCCAAGAGCGCAATGAACGCATTAACCGTACGACTGTTGACGCAGGGGGAACACATCCCAAATTTCGCAGTTGAAAATCAGTCAATCACATCGCGGGAGCATGATGCCTCATGAAGCGATGAGTCACAATGAAACTCGTTGCGAGAAGATGACTAGACGTGTGCATGCAGTCTTAACGTCGCCATCCACGTCGGAAGGGACTACCTGGGACTAACGATGAAATTTCGGTACTGATTCCTCTACCACTTGAATTTTACTTTTTCTTTACAAAACGCATGAGTGAATCAGCTCTCTGCAGTTCCTCCTCTTTGCCAGTTTCGTGAATACAAATGATCTTTTCCAGAGATCTACAATCGCGGACGAAACCCGTTGCTCACAGACATATGAAGAATTTACTTTTCCAAATTTACCAGCTGGAATGTGAAAACAACCTTACATCTCTCTCCCTCGCCCTTCCCTTCCTGGTCTTTGATACGAGAATATAATTTTGGTGAAGAATAACACCCAAAGAAAATCGATAGGAGGAAAGGAGCTGGAAAGATACGATGCATGAAATTGGATTAGAAAAGAGGACGCACTTGGCTTAATTTTACCAACAGTTTTGACCTCGATTGCAGAAGTGAACAAATTCATCTGTCAGTCACTCACCGCTTCAGACAGTTTTGCTTGTGGATTAAACGACATTCTGCGGTACGAGCCGAAGATTGACAACTTGCGGGTGATGGTAGAACGATCAAACTCCTCCTCTTTCTTCTTCTTCTCCACCTGAGCAGCTTCTTCCCTCTCTCTCAGTTTCTGTCGTTCCTTCTCCTCTTGTGCTCTGGCCATTCTATTGATCTGTCGACTCAGCTTCCTGGAGGTTTCGCTCTTGGCGTCCATCAGTTTACTGGCGACCCCCGAAAATGATGCTTGACGCTGCAGTCGCCGTGTCTTACTCTGCTCTTTAGTAAAGACTGGGTTGGACTGTGGAGAACAATAAAAGAATGAATCAGCCGTCACAGTATCGATTTTACGTTGGTTCCCTGTAAAAACACAACTCTATCGCCGAGGTGCTACTTTAACATTTAAATGCATGACGGGTCAAGCGTCAGAATTCTTAACATCTATGTATATAACAAGGGGCAGCATATGTGGACGTATAACCAGAAACTTTCAACGATGAAACATTCCTCTTTTTAAAACTGCAACAGGACAGAAAACGTTTTATTACAAAAGTGTATCTATCTGGAACAAGTCAGATCCAAGCCTTAAATTATATAAGAGTCCCGCTTCCTTTAAGAGAGCTCTAAAAAATCACTTTCTGAACGAATTTTTAAAGTGACCATATTTTATTTTAAATATATATGATTTGTATTGTATTGTATGTATTTTAATTTTGTAATCCAGTTTGTTCACTGAAAATCCCCAGATGGGGATGTGTTCAATAAATGTAGGTATATGTAGGTGTGTATGTATGTATTTTATGTATGTGTTTTGAAGAGAAAAGTCAGAAGTGCCTTCGGTATTTTTTAAGTTGAAAAAACCAGTTACCGTATCAGCCTATCCCAGAGACCATACCACAGAAACCATTTAAATCTCTATCTCCACCTATAAAACTATCTGAATTTTCACCAACACGACGTTTCGAGCTTCCAAAGAGTATCTTAACCTTCAAATGAATCAGGAGATCGACCGTGGTGGCCACCATTGAAAAACCTGAGTAAAAAATGACCTGAGTAAAAAAACCTGAGTAACCTGGCCGCACACGCAGAACCTTAATGCATGGTTTACAAATAGTTACTGTTCTGACACACACACGACCCACAATTCCCAATTTTGTTCGGGCTTGCACTCAAAACGTAAGCATTTCGCAATTTCCACTATACTTACATTTAACAACTCATAGCTTATAACCAGTCCATGCATTTTACTGCCATCTTCGTACTATTTCATTTCATCTTTATCCGGAGCGTCAGACCTCAGCTGTCTAATTCAGCTTTCCTCGTTATATTCACTAAGCTCCCTACGCTCATACTAGTAAACTGTTTAATAAAGTCAAACCTAATAGATGCGATAGAGCCATCGATCGATATTGATCTTAGCTCATTCCAGAGCGACAGAAAACGATTTTTAATAGTATGTGGGAACATCTCGTTTCCACAAAGCTAAAAATTCAATTAGTTCAAAGCTCGTGAAGTGACACCGACCTGACACTTTTCTCCATCCGGAGACACAAATGTGAATTTTACCGAAACCATGTTTGTTTAACAATCCTTTGGGCAAAGGTTTGTATATTAGATTTTAATTGAATTTCCAGCGCGATATATTGCCTGACTTCCAATTCGATAGAGGTACGTTACGTGGTAACTTCAGAAGTATTCGGTTGATGAATTCAATGGCCTTAATATCATCAGCGTGGATCATTCTTTCTTAAACTTTACAAATCATCGGATCGAGAGTTGTCGATGCACAGTTTGAGAAACTTGCAAAGTTCTAGATTGTTCTACAAGGCCGTTTTCTCATCTCTGTGGCTTGCAAAGTCAAGGTCATAATTCAAAATCTAAACTTCATAACTTGATTAGCTAACACAGCCGATCAGAAGGCTTAAAGATCACGGGTTTTTCATGAAGAACTCGAAAAGATCTCTTAGTTTTTATATTTGAACTTAAGTTATGTTTTCTACACGATCGATTCTCAAAATGCAATGAAACGGTTTTGTAATAGTATTAACAACATTACATTCCTCACGTAATGCTTTGAACAGTACCTTACTGACCCTGGGACTGACCAATAAACGCGGCGATGACTTATACCCTCTTCTCCGTGCCACGATCATGGCGATTTACCAGTAATTAGGGCATAAAGAAGAACCGAAAATCAGCCGTTTAAATACTTTGCACCCTTCCGTTTGAGTGTCGAATTGTCGCATTAACGAGAGCGGCTCGACAAAAAAAATAAACAAAGGTTCTAATAAACCAGTATTAATCTCTCTCCATTGTATAGGCCAATGTGCGTGTCGAATTCGATGAATGTTTACAGCATTCGACGCGATAAGGAAAATTATAAAACCGCTGTACAAAATTCAAGGATGAAAGTTGAAATCCTTAGGGCCCATACTGCTGATTTTTGGCAAAAGTTTAGCCGACTGCAGTTTGGGTTAAGGGCCCAAAACTACTGTTTGTTACTTTATATTAAAAATTCCCGGTTCAATTTGCTTAATTACCTACTGCATTATGTCATCTAAAGCCACTAATTCAAGCGTTTTGTTTAAGAAAACTAATTTTTATGGTACATAATTCCAAAAATTTCTCAATAGGAAAGGCAATGCGCGGTACCTTTATCAAAATAGGTTTTTAAATACGAAAGGAGATAATTAATCTCCGCTTAATCAAAACCTTAGAGTGGGAGTTTTGGTGGCCTGGAAAATATGCGTCATTTTTTTTGCGTTATTTAGGCGAGCGCTAGAGCCACAAACGTGAGGCGAGCGTGGAGAATGAGTAGTGACATCCCACCTGTGATCTTCTCGCGCTCGCGACGCGTTCACCATGCGTCCTCCTTATACTCGTTTCAACTCGCCCGAAAGCGCAAAAAAACAGATGGTGCCTGTTATAAAGGCTAGATTTTTAAATCATGTTAGCTTCAAATTCAAATGACTTCAAATTTGAAGCCTAGAACTTACTAGTCTCCCTCGCAGCCGTTTTTTCGGATGTCACGCAACGCTCCCCCATCCGAAAAAAACGGCTGCGAGGGAGACTAAGAACTTACATGCGTTAGTAGAACTCAAGCCACAGTCCTCAAGTAACACTGTACTAAATTGCATAACGACAATGTACTGGCGAAACTACACATTTCTCTCGAAAATTTTTCTTTGATTTACCAAGTCGAAAGGGAACAAGTCTAATAATTAAATATAAGGGCAAAGGATGAAAATTCTTTGATTTCCCTACTTATTCATCCCAAAACTAAATGTTCCATCAAAACATCCATGACTCTATACTTACAAAAGATTTTCCATCCTTTCTTGTTTCTCTTTGTATCGAGAATCTGGAATCGCTACTACATCAGATCATGACACGATATTGTTATCTCTCATTTGCTAAACCACTGGTCATAAAGATTGCTGCAAGTACTACCTCTTTTAAAATTGGGCAAAAGAAAAGAGTTTTAACAGTGTTATAAAAACCTGTTGTTCTTTCTCATTAAATCTTTTTTTATAGATGGTGACGATTACCGGTTATAGCCTGTGATAACCTCGACCTAACCATACAACTATAGCTTTAATAAGATTTTCCCTCCGCCAAAATCATGCCACACGCGAAAATTAGAGAAAGGAAATATAATGTACAGTAACGTGCTTGTCCTTAACGAATTTAGGCCTTTCTGTTGACATTGTTGACATTTAACTTCCACCAGCGTGTACTGAGCCTCACCGACTACGAATCACACAAAATATCCCCAAGAGCCAATGAGAGGTCATGGCAGAAACGGACAAACGGTCTGAAGCGCGGGAAAACACAGGTGACAAACTAAGTTAATTCTGGTTTCAGTTTTGCAACCGATTGGTTAAGAGTGTAGTTAAGTGGGCCAATCACAGAGCTTTGTTAGCTAAACCGAAATTTAATCCTGGATCACTTTCTAAGCCCAGTTAAAAACTGCCCCAAATAGTTAGATCAAGTGTATTAGTTATTTAAAAGCCACACAGCGCGCCTCGCCCTTCCCTTTCAAAAAGGAACATATTTTTAGCATTACCTTCACATCGTCGGCCAAAAGCGTCCACCTTGTACTTCGCCTCATCCATGATATTTTACGGTTTGGCTCCTTAAAGCCCTGTATATTTGTCATGGTGGCCACGGAGTAATGTCTCTCTCGCTCCTCTGGAACGCTGGGAAGTGGCACAATTCTCTTTGCCCCTGAAAGGAAGAAATAAATTGGACTTGTTTTAAACTATTTTTTACAACATCATTACGTGTGATTATTTGTTCATGGTAACTCTTTTCAGCGCAGTAACGCTACTGCCTTCTGACGTTCACTTCCTGTTCCGCGGCGCTGAATAAAACAGAACCGCCTTATTGCTTGACAGTAGAGGAGCAAGGCAAAAAGCAAGAAAATTTTCTTAAACCTCTTCAGTGTAAGGCGAAGGAGAAAACAAAAGGCGGCAACAAATGTCGCACTTGGACGACAAGTGGTTCGTTAAAACTTGAATTAAAGCTTGACGTTTCTTTTCGTAATATTGTACACGGTTTATCTTCAGAAGTGAAGTGAGTCAAATGCGAAAGAAATTGTGCGATGAAATACATACATTTTATAACATAAATTCGATTTAAACCAAGTAAGCATGTTCCGATCTGACACTTTTTCTTTAACTCCTTCAACTGCATTTATCAGGGGAAAAGAGTAACGAGACACTTGTTCTGAGAGGCGCAACTTACAGCTTTTACAATTCGTTATTAGCTGATTACGGCAACACATTACCTTCCGATTTCCTTCTATTACGAAGTTCAACTGAGTGATCTACTTGAAGTAAGGTAGCCATGGCGAGTTTAACAGAACTTCAGGGATAGTTGATATTTCACCGACAGGACGAAGTTGAATGCATATATTTACTCGAGTAAGGGTGAAAATAGAACATAAAAATATTCCTCGATCATATGCCGAGTTATTGTGCTGTGATTCAGCAGTTTTGGGTGACACGAAAATTTGCAAATTATCATAAATCAAACTGTCATCGAGAATAGATCATTACAAAGAATAATAAATAGAATGTGAAATTGTATTTTTAGTCAAATTGGCCATTAAATTCTTGTGTATCAAAGAGATTCTTGATTCATTTCTGACCATTTCTTAATTAGCCAAAAGATAGACTCAATCTGACAAAAATTAGTATTTGAAATTCAAACAATGTCAATAAACATGTCGTGTTCTATCAGAGAATGCTATTAAGCGTAAACTGAGCAGCAATATTCGTTCATTGATTTCCAATTTCTGTGATGTGTAGGAATGAATTAAATATGGTAATTCTTTCCCTCAGTAATAATTGAAGAACAGCTCCCCAAAATATCTGTCGGCCGACTGTTGGCGAACGAAACACAGAAAACACAACGAAAACGCAACAGAAACACAACGAAAACACGGGCTCGTGCAATGTTGTGACTCTTTGAAAAAATTTACTCCTATTGCTAAATCTAAGTAACTAAACTCTTCCAATTTCAGCGGAACGAAATGTGTCAGTCAGATACTGCACATCAAGTTCACATAAATGAAGATCGATATGGGCCAATAATGCTCACTCGAAATTTACCTCTATCGCGTGGTGTTCGTCAAAATTCATTTTGAGGTAATTGTGAAAGCTCAAACTTACCAAGATAACAGTCTATTTACTCGTTTCTGAATTTTTTCATTATGTCGGCCAACTGTCGGTGAACAGTCGGCCGACAGTTGGCCGACAGATATTATGGGAAGCTATTTTTCACTGATTTTACCAAATTAAAGGGTCATCCTCGGTGTAAAAACCTGACGAGGTTCTCTTTGTTTCATGAGGTATTGTTTTGTTCTACGCTATTGTTTATAATGTTTTGTTGTCTTTGTTTTTACGTCACTCGTGAGCTTCACAGGTTTTTACACCGACGATGAGCCAAATTAGGTGTAACGGAATATCGGTAAAGGATCCCTTCCAACCACAATACCCTGCGCGCCTCTGTCATTGTTTTGCTGGCGGGAGCGTGATTCGCAAACGGCGTGACTCGACGAAAGGTCTAAAGAGATCGGCGTCAACTGCGCCAATGAAAAATGGAAGATATGGACCATGTGACAAGCAGGAATGTCGATGTTGAAGGTCCATCAACACCCGTAAATTGTTCCGCGCTGTAAGAACACAGGTAAAAACTAATTAATTAACTTGCACCTGAACGATTAATCGTTAGGGGTCTCGTAAAATGAAAAGGCTAACAAGAAATCTTTTGCATGTGTCTGTTTACAGCACATGTTAAGTAAGACGCGCAAGAGCTATAGCCAAAAATCGTCGCCTTGAAAAGTTCTATAAACGCATCAGCGAGTCACCTTGATGGGTCGTGATGGGTGTGATGGATAGCGAAGAAACGGAACCGATGATCAAGAGGAAGATTTGTCAAATGCTTGATCAGTTTTACCTTTCAGAAGCGTTCGCCTCAGTTATAAATCTAGCAATAGGGAGTTTCTATTCTTGCTCCTCGGCCTTAGAGACAAGAAAATTTGACTGGTGTTTTAGTAAACTTAAGTTTTGCACCTAGTTCATGTTCTTTTTGTTGTCAAGGTAATCTTCATATGTCCTTGTTCTTCACGTGGGTTTTAAGACATGTAATGTTCATGAAGATTTCTAGAATGCGACTCTAATAAGTTGCGCAGGATTTTTTCGAACACTATGAATTACTAGTAATGCGCATAACTTATTAAGCCTCTGTACCTTCTACTTCTCGTTTGAAAATATAACTCGTCGTTACGTTGTGGACTTTGTGCATTTTTCCTTCACTTTTCTTGCGTTTCCTTCGTTTCTATCTTTACATTACATGGAGTTCGCTTGAGTTTTTCTTCATCGCACAAGGACTTCTGTGGTTGCGTTGCTGATCTTGTCATTACAAATAGAACGACAATCACATGGAAATTAACCTAACTGACAACATATGTTCTGTTTATGTGCTAGGGGTAAGTTGTTCTAAATTTACATTACAGGTGTAATTCCTAAGGGAAATTATTAAAGAGTGATTTAAAATACGTTTAAATAACATTTGCCGGCGACAGACATATAGTCAGTGTATGGTGGTATTTTCATTGCAGATCATAGAAAGAAAAAACTAGTTGCGAAGCGAAGCAACAAGCTCGGACCGGAAGTCGTTAAACTACATGAACATTTGACACTCGATTAAGTAAGCATGGTTGTAACCCTTTAAAAGCTTCTTTTCATTATGGTGTATTTTACGTCAAACCATCAGAGCCAATATCACTCTCGTTTACTGCACTCTTGTTTCTTACAACCATTTCCCAACAGTACATGAAAAGTGAAAATTTGCTCGGTTAACAACGGACCAAGCCGTGGATAGTTACAGCTAAAACAACTGATCGAGAGAATAGTAACAGACTTACATACATGGTACATGGTGAATTCAAACTGGTTATTAAATTGGATTGTTACTCATTTTAAAACAATGCGTTTGATAAAGCAAAGCAAATAGGTCGCGTTAGGCTTATCGCATTGAAAAGTCTCTTTCAGCTCAACAATCTTTTTCGTCATGTTTTGTTCTTTTTTTTTTTTCTTCATCGGCAAACTTTTGTTACTTGACAGATCCAAGATCCTAAGATGAGCTGTGAGGTATATTGGCCTTCTACCACTAGTTATTTTGACTGGGAGACGGCAGAAATGTTGCTACCCCCCTCTCCCACAGCCCCCAGGATGGGATGTTAGTCTATCGCAAGATAGCCCCTTGTCCTCCCCACCTCAATGTTTCGTCAGGTTTCCCTGTAAGGTCACAGGTGCTCATTTACACTCCAGGGGAGGAGAGGGGCATTGTAAGTGCCTTTTTGACGACAAAGAACACACCACAATGACCCGGCCAGGTCTCAAACCCAGACCTCTCGAACCCAGACCTCAACGCGCCAACCATCAGACCATCGAGTTCCCATCAAATATTGTTTTCTGCTAATACCAATTTTATTCCGATAATTGGTAGTTATCTGCACCAGGGATCGAGAAGTTTTTGCATCTAAAAGGATGATGGTGATTCATCGCAGTTTTATTAAACTAAAAAAAATATAAATTACAAAATACAAATTTTATGTTTTAAGCTCGTGATAGCTTCGTTTCATTCACAAAAAGCTCAACACATTTCGTAGTTACAACATTATTTAAGAAACTTAAAAGAAAAGGTAAACAACTCTCAGTTAACTAAAAAATGGATTCTAAGCTTTGATCGGTTAGTTCTGTCGCCATGTTCACGTGACCGGGGAGCGCGGAGTCCGGAGCACTTTTGCACATGTCACATGTTTAAGTTACTCCAAGACATATCCCACGGGCTGAAAAAAAAAAAAAGAATAAAATAACCATAATTATTACTTTTAGAAAATAATAAAATAAAAAGGGTATTTACAAAGATTTCAACTGCTTATTAATGACAGGCTGAAAAAAACGTGACTTGTTTTGACTCCTAACCGTTCAGTCGTTGTTGGTCTTCCCCGGGCTCCTCTGAAGTCGTGAGAGTACTCGGTCTGCCAATGAAGGGCAGGGGTCTGGGCTGAATAATTTGAAAAAAAATTGGTGAGAGCATGTTCAAAGGTTCCTTTTTCTAGCGGATTTCGCATATAATTTGCTTTAGTTTTCTTGTAGCTTCTAGGTGAAAAACTGATTAGAATAAACGCATATGGATTCCCCTTCTTTTGACAATTTTTGTCGACACCCTTCAGGAAAACAAAGTTTTCGTCAATGAGAGAAAATCATGCAAAAGAATTGACTTATAAACACTTTGGGAGCTTTTAAACCACAACTCTATCGGCTTTACCTTTGGAGTTCGGTCTGAAGCGGTCTGATTTCCATGCAGTTCTTGGTTTGTAGTTTGCTAGTTCTGAAAAAAATAATCACTTTTCCTTAACCTCTGATTGGGAATTAAGTAAACGGAGAAATACACAGCTAACACTTTCAACCACAGATTTTCAGCCGCAACGACACAGATCTGCTCAATGAAAAACGGTGTTGAGTTTTGAGTCCGATGTTGTAAAAATCCAAGGGTTGATTTCCGATTAGAAATGACTTCTTTTTCAGGCCTTTCTCTTATTCTATGCAGGAATTGTCCCACTGTTTCCACATACAGTTATCTAATATTAAGATATTCAGAAATCTCAGAGAACTCGCCAAGCTTGGTTTAAAACACACGCGGCAAGCAAACGAAGAATCGCGCGAGAAATAACAGAGACACTCGCACGAGTCGCGCGTGTCGTTACGACTCGCTTCTATATCGTTGGAGCGCTCGCTTAGAATCAGCCTCTTTATTACAGCTATTTCAATGTACACACCCATCGGTCTTGCGTTGAAAGTGGTATTGTATGTTGTCGACATCCAGCGGCTCTTGTTATGTTGGAGAATGTTCGGTGCAGATTGTGATTCCCGAACGGGCGGGAGATTCAAAGAAGGATTGTTCCTCCACACCAAATAACTCTGTTAAACACATCGAAAAAATGTTATCGTCTTGCAAACCAAGTGGCCCAAACCCTTTCCTGGGCTCTCTCTCTCCTTCCCACTCCCTAAATCGAGAAAGAGTGTGGGGAAGAGAGACCCTGGTAACAAGGTTGCATTCAACCCAGCCCCCCTCCTCCCCACAGATGTTACCTTATCTGGGTACTTCCATGGGTCGAGGATTGCCGCATGTGGATTGTTTTTTCGATGCACGGAGTAGGGCTCTACATTGTGTCTACAGTACGCCAGCTGGGGTGTTCTAAATGTGCTGTGATAATGACTTGATTCAAATGGCCAGCCTGATGGTAGATGCTCTGCGGTACTCATTCTAGAAAATAAAAATTTCTTAAATTAAAGAAAAAACTAACAAACAAACAAAACATAAATACAAAAAAAGGAAAAACAGGCGAGACTTGATTTAAGGACCAGCCATCAGTATATCGCTCTAAAAAGGGGGGTGGGGAGGTTGGGATCACATGGTCTTCAGGGGGGCCGGAGGTGGGTTTAGTCGCCCTTGCTCCTCTTTTAATAATTATTGCCCAGTTGTGTAGTTATGTCCTAGCGAACGATTACATGTATGTCAAGGCTTTCTTATATTTGATGGGATGCTTAACTTCCTACAGTAGTCAATAACATGGCAGAAGGAATTTAAGGAGTTCTCATCACAAACTGCTTGATTTGTGAAGTTTACTAAGATAAAGGTGGTTAATGTTTTTCTACTGAAATAACTATCAAAATTGATAACAGTCCTATTAGCAACAGAAGCTACATGCGAGTTTACGCGCATTAGTTAAACCTGCTTTCTTGCGTCTGCTCTGGATAATGATTTTCTGTCACATCACCTCCAGATATCTGTAACTGATCTTAGATTCAGAGAGGGAAGAACACGGGCTCATAATTTCGGGTTCCTCGTGCTTACATGCAGTCTGGCTACTAAATACAGGCAGCATATTTTTTAAATACCCCTCATTAACTTATTATATTACCTGTGTGGATGTGCAGGTGTTCCAGTCGCTCCGACATAATCTCTTGCGTAAGTTGTCCAAGGAAACTGCTTCTTTCTTATCCCAGACGCTAAAAGTGCATCAACAAACAATCAATATAATTATATGGATCAATTGACACACAAACGCGACAGCCGAGGAGGTTTAATTATTTGCGTTTGGTGATGAAAAGATTTGAATGTTTGTAATCGCAAACTGTACGCTAACAAACCTGCGTTTGGTGTGTCAGGTTCAGTTCCCCATGGAGGATTTTTGACGTTGCTCGCAACAGGAGAAGTTATATTTCTCTCCTCTTCTGGCATTATTGTCGTCTAACTCGAACAAGCGAGTTGATTGCGTAGCTGGACCGGTTTGCAAGCCTTTTACTCAACTTGAAAAGAAGTAGTCTTCATCTATTGAGTCCTTCAAAGATTGCAAGACTTACTCGAACACTTTGCGGTTTGTTTATAAACCAAACAGTTCTTGATGTTGATCTTTTCTGCAGTGACTTCGAACACGATTTGATGGAGTTTAGGAAGTGGTAATTTACTCCGTCTGATCTATTCATTAAACACGAGGATTTCACCTCATTGGACAGTGGTTGCTAGGGTACTTCGTTCATATGCAAGATTGGCGTGACTGTCGCTGACTAGAAAACGTTCTTTCAACGAGTGATTTTTCCTTCTTGCTTGGTTATTCAGAGAAAAATGAACTGTTAAACTAAGGTCAAAGGTAAATCCTTTTAAGTATAGAAGACTGGCTTTGAACTTGCTCAAATCCATGTACATAATATGCTTTGTTTACATCATGCAATCGCTACCATCAGCTAGCTGTCACAATCACGCAATCCCCTGGTTTTTGAGCCCGAGACTTTAAAGACGGCGGATAAGCGCTAAAGAGAATGGACTTTGT